GTCCTAGCTACCGTGCTTTCTACTTTGTTTTTATTTGTAACTATTCATTCTGTTTCTCATGTGATCTTGTTATGGCCTAGTACCACCACTGCGAGAAAAATGTGAGGGCCATCAGTCAAGGTCATGTGATCGGAAGAATATGAAAGGTGGAAATTGAGGATGAGGTGAGGCGATGCCTCTCTCTCCCACCCTACAATGCTGTATGAGGCCTTTCCATATGCATTTTTGAGGCACGCTTTATGCTTCATACTGTGTGCTGCATGGGAGGTCCTGGTCTTCAAAAAAGGCCTTTCTTTCAACCGACCTACCTACAGACCGATTAATTGTGCCTGTTACCCAAAATAGAAATTTTTCACATTTCTTTGAGTTGTGTTGATTCGTAGGATCTCGGTCATTTAACGGATTAAATAATGTGTTCGTTCGCTCAACAAATGGTGCAATTAGAAGCCATTCCTCATTACAGGCCAGTCATTCGATCATCCAACGCCGCATGCGCGGTGCGCCGGAATGCTGCAGGTGAGAGACGTGATTAAGAGCTAACGGAGAGGTATTTGCCAATTCATGATAATCAATTGGGTAAGCTCAGGTTGCTTGATTGATCCCATGACATTTTCTTCTCGGATGATGTAGCTTAGCGCAACCACAACTGGAAGGTGTTCCTGACATGTTAATCGCCAAGCAACCTGTCAGAAGGGATGGGCGAATCTTCGTGGTAATATAGGGGGCCGTTTCTGTAGGTGACCCATCTACCTTCGACTGATTCATCAGCAGAATCAAATAATGTAGTTAGAATTATTGTAAAGGTGGAGTTTCTGCCACGTCGTCTTTGTCATATGTTAAACCACAAATTTGACGAAAAGCTAGCTCCCGCAGCTACCGGAGCTGCATTAAGCACTGTTGGTAAATCAGAAGACCACAAATTCCATCCGTCAGATCTGATGGCGTCAAATGACTGGAGAGAGTAGACCGTACAATAGGGAGCATCGTACTGCTTGAATGGCTTCATATTACTAGATCCTGCTTTTATTTCTGTCTTAAAGTGGAGTGATGGGTAGAAAAAAAGGATGCTTCATTACATTGTGTGTTGAGATGTTCTACCAAAGAACGCGTTTATAAGGAATGTAAATTCCTTCAGAAAGCCTTAATCAGCCGTCATGTGTGGGTTTAGTCATATTCATGGCATCTTTATGGAATCATCAAGTTCAACCATACTCATTAAAAACCATGAATCACTGCGGATATAGAAGGACACTTTAACAGCATTTGAAAATGGGTCGACATTGTCTAATCCTCATGTAGATGGCACTGGCTAACTAAAAAGCCGTGACGTGCAAAAATTTGCTTTTCACATCTAGCTTCTTACTCCATCGTCCACTGAGAACGCGTTCATAATAGTACCAACTACCGGTCCCTGCTATTTGAGAAGTGAAATAACGTAATAACTAAGGCTACCGGCTCTTAGCGTCAAATAAATGAAGCCAAGTTTGCAACGACTGTTTGGTGCAAATGCAATGCTCTCAAGGGAAACGAACTTTCCCATCAGCATCCCCTTTCCCTTTCCAAATATTAAGGCAAATCACCATTGGCCGATGTGGGTAATATGACTCTAGCAACACGCATCCCTCCCCCCACCTTCGACCTTTTCTTTCAATGTCTTACCGTGTTGGCTGAAAACCGCAGATACCGCCTCAATATAATGAAATTGTTGGTGTATCTCAGCTGCATTGAGGCCTAGTTTGTGTGAATGCAGGCTGACTGGAATCTAGTTATCTAACGCTAAATGTATCTTCGGTGTTAGTGTTGTAATTTTCACCGTTGTTTGGAGAGAGGGTATTTAGCTTTCCGCGTGACAGAAACGATCTATACTCTATGTCCGACGTCTGCGGTTCTGGCCATGTCGTCCACAGTGCATCTGTTTCTTGTCTACAAAGCCCCTAAGCCAGAACGCACCTCACCAACTTCAAGCATGTTTCCTTCTAGTTCAACTTGTCACCCATCATATTTACAGTGCGACACCAAACACAAAACGA